ACATGGACCTGTCCATTTACAGAACATGGTATCCAATGTTGATCACAAGATTCAATCAAAATAGGAAGAATAATGCCACTCGATCAGCATGGATGACACCTCCCAATTACCGCACCCTCACATGGGATGCGTGAGTCCCGTGCGAATGAAATAATCTTGACCCCCATGTGTATGTGCACGATCATCTCCGCGGTCATCCACACGGATCGTGTAGCACAGTTGAATTAGGAATAATCTTCTTGGACAAGCCCCCATCCAAACAGAGGCCGATGTGGCGGTTTGGACAGGCCTGTCCATATAGCAAAGCCCATCAAAATATTTTTCATTGATCATTTTATTAAAAGAATTTTTTTTTTTTCTTTCTTCCTTTTTTTCGGAATAAGGCAGAGGGATAGGAATTGGATGGCTAAAATGGTTAAATGTGACAAAGTCATTCTCTATTTTCATATGTACCCGTAAGGGCGAAAAGACCATGGACAAAAGACGACGATGGCTGAAGGAAATATAGAGAACCTCAGCTACAACTCCCACCTGACCAATAAATACGACACCTACCAAATAAGAGATTTATTTCATGGATTGATACTGCATAAAATCAGTATATTTAAATATTTAAGAGGTTGTAAATAGTATCCCAGTAGATAAAAATTTGAAATTAAAATCTCACTAAAAATGTTACACATTTGAATACAAGTATCGATATAGAGCGAAAGGAGAATCAAGAAATGTCACTGTAATACACAACGAATTATCTAGTATTTCCAAAGCAGAAGGCATGTTTTACACACGAAAACTCATGAACATTATAATCTAATAAAAATATACAACCAAGCACACAGCAACATCTCAAAATGCAGAAGAAATTGAAATCATTGTACGGTACCATTTGGAAGCTCTTGAAACCAATACAAAAAAGTCAAACGGTACCATCTGTAAGCACTTGAAACCACTTTTTACTTCTTCAATACACTGCAAAAGACATAAATGAGCATTAAAACTGATATAGGCAGGTTATATGTGCAAAAAACAGTAACAGTTAGGTGTATTGTTCTGTTTTTGGTACTTCTGTATATATAACTAGCGAAAATAGAAAGAGTAATGTTATTTAACCACACTGGTGTTTAACCCAAGTTTAGCTGGCAACATAGATAGCATTAAATGACTGATTCATTTAAATGCAATGACACGTGATTCATTTAATTACACCTATTAAGTATGGCCACCTAGTGCTCTAGCACCATTGGAGTTAGATAGCATTGTTCGAATAGAAATTTTACAATTAAGGCATTACCCATTTATATTTTTGGTTTTTAAAACGATTTTCAAAATCTCTAAAACGAGATAATTGTGTTACGAGTTTTTTAAATCAGTAGCCAGCAAACTAACTGCCTCTTTTTTCCCTTCTCATCTCCTCATTCTGTCTTCTTTTTCTTTTTGTTATGCATCTTCTCTTCCTTGAAAGTTCTTTTAAACCTTTGAGCATATTCTTAACATTTATATTTGATACATTAGATAATTCATCATCTAAAAGGTATCTATGACAACCAAACATAATTTTAATTTAAAAAAGGAGCTTTGAAATAGAAAATTTAGTAAAAGAAATTTAGGGCCCTTTTGGCATGGCTTGTGAAAAGCCAAAAGGAGCTTTTGAGACCTAAAAGCTGCTTTTGGACAGTTTGTCTAATTTTATGAAAGTGCTTATTTTAGTTAAAAGAACTTTTAGAGGAAGCCGGTCCAATGTGCCTTCCTCTAAAAGCACTTTTGGAATATAGGAAGCTCTTTTAAAAATTTATTTCCAAACAAAAATTATGATTGCTTCATCCAAAAGCTCTTCTAAAGCAAAAGTAAAAGTTATGCCAAACAGACCCTTAATAATTGAAAATTAAACCGGAGGCAACCAATATGGTTTGAGAATTCAACCATAAAAATTAGTCAAGCAGAGAATAGAGTACAAATTGTTATCTTGTCAGTTAACATAATTGTTCTTTTATGTAGTCGTAGACAGTAAACATGCTCGGGCAAATTGAGTTATAAAGTTACCACTATGACAAAGAGAATGGACAGAGTTTTTGATGTACGATAAAAGCTATCACCTAAATTAGAATCGAACTGAGAACTTACTTGTATAAATAGGCTGCAATACCAAGAATAATACAGAGCAAAATGATGTCGATACAAAAATTTCGACTAGATCGCAGCTGGTACAAAACCGAAACTCCATCAAACACATTGACTACCGAGTGCAGCATGTAGCTAGGTTTAATCCATAAATAAAAATAAAGAGTTGAAGCCCAAGTTACCTGGTTAACAGTGTCCTTAAGTCTAACATTGGTATTTTTAAGGTCAGATGTTGCCTGGTCCACCTGTAAGATGTGAAGAGAAGAGACATTGTTGGGCCGTTGGCTAAGAAATTTTTATATAGAATTAATACTGTGTAGCTATACACAGTTGCAAAATCACATTATGCTCCACTATGCACAATGCATGACTTTGTTGGTCATCTTGAACAACACATAACCATTTTCTATGTAATAAAATTTCTATTACGTGATGGACAATTGACATAGTTGTTGGATTTTTGTTCATGAAACTTGATTCTTCTTCCTCATGATGAGTAATTTGATGAAGATCCAGTTACTAGAAAGAATGCATCATCTTAATTAATAAAAATGTAAATGAACTTAATGGTTATAAATCTGTTATAGTCTAGCAGGACATAACGGTACCACTTACAAAATCAGACTTCCACTATTAACGTATTGATAACTGCCCTCTTAGTATTAAATAATAACAAGATTGACGAAATTCCTAACCTTGGTGTCAATCTCATCCATCAGAGGAACTTGCCTGTCCAATTCCTGCATGCAGCGCACTGTATTTTGTTACTATCCATAATAGTGGAGTAAACAGAAAATCAGGAATACATCACCTCATTCATGTCATGGGCCATGTTTTTTAAAGTATCCAAACCTTCTCCTATGACATCCAAACCTTGGTCCTGCATCAAGATGAAAGTAATTGTAAACTAATAAATTGAAAATTGGTTAAATCTTTGCCAAAACAAGTCTATAATAAGATATTCTTGAAAAGCCCAAACCTGTCGCATTTTCCGCATTTCATACTCTTGTCTGAACTGACTTGAGTCTTCAGTTTGCTGAAAATATTCACTGTCGAACCGTCCATCTAGAATTCATTTATACAGCACAAGTTAATAAATAATAGACTGAAGGCTACTAGTAAACGATTTGAATACGTAGAAGATCAAACATATAACCTGAATCGAATTTAATTTCTTTACGAGGAGCTGAAGTTCCCCAACCTCCTGGTTGCTTGGGTGCAGCTGCACCACCATCTGGTATCGCTTGAATCCTATCAGGCAATGCAAGTGCCAAATCGTTACGGGCAGCAATTTCTTCTGTTGAAAGCCCCTTAACCTGCACTTAAGAGACTAATTATTACACAAGCAAACTCTAAAAGGTCAGGCTCCTGCTTGGTTTCCTAGGGTGAAATTACTGTGTGAGACAGTAGAAATAGCAAACATGGAAAGAGAAGCCAGCATCTGTCACGTAACAGTGAAATTGGGAGGACTTCAGTCACAAATCAGAGAATGATAAGTACAAGCATTGCAGATATGGCTAAAACTATCATTACTGAAGCAATGCTCTTAGTCCATCTACTCATTCAAATTGAAGGTGCAGGCTGGCATAAAAAAGTCAATAAAATTAGCTTCCAACTACTGAAGCCAAAAGCATCATTGCTAAATCAAACACTGTCCATCATACCAAAAGGCAAACTAACTTAAAATCAGTACAGCACACTTGGTTCTGATTAACGTTCCATTTCCAAGATTTCTATCCAAAGACATTCACCCATCACACTATCTAAGGGTAAGTGATCAACGAATACTAAAATTATGCGTTACAGCACATATTAGTGTACAATTTTATATATGCTTACATACACATTTATCCTGTATACTACTGAATTTACATGTTCAAACACAGTAGATGACATTATAAAGGTTTTATGCCCAGAGGAAGCCAAGCATATTAAAATGTAAATGTCAAATAATATCAATTCCTTCAATGTTGCAACTTAGACACAAATATGGAGGACCAGGGCTACAAAGCTTTTATGGATGTGGATTTTTATGTCCCAAGTGTCATCAATGTTGAAACTTGTAGATCAAAAGGTGTTAGAAACAGAAGCAATCAAGTTCAGAAGCTTTGGGATTTAGAGGTTAAAAGTAATTTTATAATAAATTCCAAGGCTCATATAATACACAACAGAGTCAAAGCTGCATTGGAATTTAAATAAAAAGAGACGAAATATCCATGGACTACTGCATCTTAGTTCCCAAAGTTCCTGTGTAACCGGGTACAGCTCTATCAAGCTGAATTAAGGACTCCTTAATCCCCAGACTACATTTATCCAGCCCCTCACACCTGCCGCTCAGTGTACTAAGAATTTAGAAATGTATAAAGACTTATAATCTGCAAACAAAGATGGAATCCATCTTTCAAATGTTTCCTTCATGCACTATGATTTGTGATTGCAGCAGGAACCACCACTCCTTAGATTGCTCCCATATCAATAGTGAAGCAAACAGCTGTTAGTTTTATCAAGAATACCCCTCTACTGGAAGTTTGAACGAAATACAAAAATTATTCTTTCCATATTATTACTCCATGCTTTTGGGCTGGGGGTCTTCAAAGAAGGCAACATGGAGAGGATCAGTTAAAGAACTATGAAAATACAAATGAGATTTTGCACAGGCACGGGTTTACTATCAGCTAACCACAACCTTTTAATTCTCAAATACATCAAAGCATGCATGTACTTCTAGATTAAATAAAAGACAATTAAGCATCCGACAAACTTGCCTTCCGCTAAAAGTGTCTTTGTGCTCAACTCAGATTGTTGCAATTCCAAATTAAAACACATTTCTAATATAATAAATACATAGACAAAAGCGAACTCATGCCCAGAAAATAATAATAATAATAATAATAATAAAAATCCAGTAAATGCTATTATAAACATGACTACGACAAGATGGTAATAAATAAAATTAAATAAAAAAGAAGACAAATGCAGTAATTGAATTCAATATAGCACACCAATTTGAATAAAAAAATTTGGAAAAATTAATCTACTAAGAGAATAAAAGAAATCACGCAGAATCTTACCTTCTTGACAGCTAATCTCTGCAGTTTGGGGACCTCCTCCAACAACCGGGCCTTCGTTCTCCGAATCTCCGCATTGATCGCCACAGCTGACGCCCTACTCTTCTCCTGCGCAGCAGTCTCCGCTTTCTGCCAAATTCAAAGTAATAAACATAAACAATCAAAATTCCAGCAGTACTTTTCTAATAAATTCAACAGAAATTGAAAATTTAGGGATTCTATTTTGATACCTGAAGAGCAGCCTCGATGTCGGAGTCTACGGCGGCGTAAAGGCGAGCGAATGCGTCATCGCCGGCAACGTTGGAATCCTTCTGCTTTTCAATGTCGTATTTGTCATACTTCTTGCAGATCGCATCCACCCGAGTCAAAATGTCGATCACACTCATTTTTTCCTCACCTTTTTTCCTCTCTTTGGGGATTATGTTATTGACAACTCAGCTCTTCAAGGAGTATTAGAGAGGGCTTAGGCCGGACTACAGCTGGATTTTAGTAATTCATTACGTCAGAACCTTCAAATAGAAAATGAAAAAAGAAAAGGAAAAAACTTTCTTACAATTTTTTTTTTCTTTATGAAATTTTTTGTTTTATAATTTTTTAAAATTATTTTTACTTTTTTCAAAATTTTAGCCGAATATGGGACTAAAAGTAATTTGGTGGATATGTTACTACCACGATTTTTGTCTATTACATCAAAGAGTAATTATACTATCGTCATAAAATTTACTTGTCATTAGTTGTGAATGGGGTACGATTCGAATGGTATATGCCATATTTTTCATTCAAATCATTTAATGCGATTTGAAATTTTTTTCAAACTAAAAGCATTTTAATTTTCGAACAAAATCAAACCATAATTTTCAATTTGGTTCGATATTAATCCGCAGTTTAGCTATCGATATTATAGTAATATATTTAAACTGATAATATTAAATGTTAAATTATATTCATATTTTCCATGAAATCTCATAAATAAATTATTTTCAAATTTGGTTACCAAAAGATGTTAATAGAACGAATACATCTACCTTTCTTTCTATTTACCTTTCATATTGTCATACAGTTGTTGATAATGGCAGAATCACATTCTACTATTATAGTTTGATTAAAACTCATTTCATCTTGTCAATGAAATGAAAATTAAGGACCAAACATGATATGTTTAAATGTAAAAATATTGATAGAGTTTGAGCTTTTTGAGAAATGATAAATTTCATTTCCTAACAACTTTAAGAAAGAAACAGGTAATAGTACTAATTAGGAAACTTTAGTATTTTCATACAATCAATACGTTTTGTCTTTCGTTTTTTTTAGACCACGAACTAGTTCATTAATCATATAGGCACACAAACATTCATTTTTCTATCTAAATCACAACTGACAAGTGTATAATAAATTCAAAAGCAACAAATGAAAGAAAGAACAATAAAAAAAAATGGTTTGAATGAGAATATAAGACTTATTGAGAGAGAAAAGAGAAAGAGACGATTTAATTAAAAATTAACAGAATAATGGACAAAAGGCAATTGACGATTTGCGCTTAGGAATCGCATTTCGTTTAGCAGTGATAGTTAAGTGTCAAAAATTTGGAAAATGAGAGTTTAGTTTAGAGCTTTTGAAACTTTGGATGTGATTTGCTACGATAGTTATGTTAATAAAAACATTTTTTTAATTAAAAAATATATGTTTCCATTTCGTACAGTTTTTAAAAATCGAAATCTAAATCAAATTATTTTGAAACAGTTTGATTCTATTTGAGGGGACAAAAATCTCGGGTCCACGTAAACTCAAACCAATAGTTTCGGTTTGATTTGCGATTTCGCGATTTTTTTTATTTTTTATTTTTTGCGGTCCCACTTGTTACACCATTTGTAACCACGCCACAATGAAAGCATCTTTTTAACAATACATCACAGTAAATTTACAATTACAATACTAATCCAATAACATCTGAAAAAAAAAAAAAAAAAAAATTATATTGTGTACAGGGGCATTCCCATATCATCCTTCATTCTCCTTCTCCTCCTCCTTCTCCTTCCCCTACCCATTCAACCAGACCAACTTTCCCCACCGGTGGGCGACTGGGCGGTGGCTCAATAATCTGCTTAGTAAACAAGCCAATATTTTTTATGAGACAGATCTAAAGATGTTGGCAAGAATGACGTTGATGGTGACGAAATTTCTAGGATAACAACATTCTTGGATTCCAATGGTTTCTCATGGCGAGTTCTCTCTTTCAATGGATTGATTCCTCAAAACGTGGTACTGAGTTCGAGTATTGTGATTCTTCAATCAAAATTTTTCATTTTATTAAATAATATTCTTAGCCCAAAAATTAAGAGTAGCAATTGTTATATTTATTAACATTTAGTCCATGTTTTAGCCCCCATTTTATAATATTCATTTTTCTTTGAAAATTCATTTTTCAACCTCAAATTACTGGACTCGCAATTTTTATAATAAACACACATTTCTTCAATTTTAATTAAAATCTATTAAAATTTTGATTTTTATCTAAGCAAAACAGAGGCTTGCTTGCTTGTATATGCAATCAACATTTGAAATTTAGATTCATGCTACATAAATTATTCAAGCATGTTGAACTTCGATAAATCTTTCTAAAGGTTGATTATTGTTTCTTATTTTAAAGATGGTGAAGTTGATATTAACATAGAATAGGCTCATGATTATGGTAGTTAATTTGATTTTTAGTCCTCCAAAAAAGGGGGAAAAAAAAAGGAATTGGGTATGTAGTTTCTTTTTAAAAGAGTTCTAATACATGTACAGAACATTTTTTTACAAATACTTTACAGAATACGCATAGCATAAGGTGGGTGGATTATTTTACTCACATGGGACCCACTCCCCACGTGAGCATCTTGGAAAACTTCTACATAGAATTTCCCTTTTTAAAATGTGCAGTGGTTGATTTGTATGAAGGATCTATATTCTATACCATTTGACAAATGTTAAGAAACTGGCAGGTTCTGCTTGCTATGGATGCTACAAAAGTTCGAACATTATGATTATGTCTGATCAGGGACGGACCCGACTCATGCCTAGTGCAGGCAGAATCAGGGGCGGACCCAACTCATGCCCTGCACTGGACTTTGGGTCAACCCCATTGGATATATATTTTGGAGCACTAGAAATGTCTGTGGCCTCTAATTCATTTGTTCAAGGTGAAGCATACCAGAAATATCAGATGGAGAAGATGGGTCAAATTATAAGTTATTTCATTTTGAATATAATGTTTGTGCTATAATGTTGTTATTTTTTCACTTTTATTAATATCGTCTGCACTGAAAAAAAAATTCTTGATCCGCTCCTATGTCTAATGAATGAAATCGAAATCGAACACTATGAATTTGGTTAAATCTTGTTTTGAATTGGGATTAAATAAACAAGTATTTATTCATATTATTCTTATACGTTTAATTACGGTACTAAAATCTGAAATGGGATTTCAAAAATTACTAAAATCGACTTAAGAATTTGGTGGGTGTGATTTGCATTTTAACCAAACCAACTCGCATCTAATCTTCTCTACAATCATTCAATATTTTGATAACTATTTATGAGTCTTGTCTTGATAATCTCAATTTCTAATCAAGCTTTTGTTATTTTGCAATAATTATTTACGTTTTAATTTTAATTAGCTTCTCTATCAGTATTGAACTAATAGGATTAAAATCGATTTTTGTTTAATAAATAGGATTCTAGTCAGTGGAGTTTTTGACCCAATCTGGTATTGGGCTACAACAAAGCAGAGACCAGTGTAGGCCTATAATTAATTTGGTCAGTGCAAAAATAAAAGGTTACCAGTGGGGCATTCCGAGAATTGAACTCGGGACCTCTCGCACCCTAAGCGAGAATCATACCACTAGACCAAATGCCCTTTGTTGAGGTCTTATGTATGCAATTAAACTATGTTTCATGATACAAGTTTCATTTTCATTATCGCTTGACATTTCTCTCATTTAAATATATAATTCCGATTTGATCAGTGTTCAATGTAATGTTCAAATGAGAAATCACAAAAACTTGCAAAATCGATTTGCTTTAAATATTTTCTCTTGAATATTATTAACACTTTTGGAAGATCGATGAAATTTTTTCCGATCAACTGAAATTCGTCCATTTTCGACTAGAAGCCAGGTAAATCTTCAATGGACCTGTTTTCTGTTGAAAATTTCCGATGGTTAATGAGGTACATTCGCAAATTTTTGGCGACAAATTACAACAAGCGGGCATAAAATACATAAATAATATTTCGTTTCATTTCATTTCAAATTAGACGTCTCTTGATTAACAAATTTATTATATCACAATATTTTGAATAAACTCCTTTAAGCCACATAATATTGTACACAAATCATGCATGCAATATGCCTCTTTCGCATGTTAGGTCAAATGTATTCTATCGTACTCAACATTAATATAAAAAAAGAAAAAGTTATAATCTTGTACATAACACATATTTAATTAGAGATGGACATGCTCTAGCCGTCTTTAAGTTTTGTGTTCAAAACTATTAAAATCCCTTCTCAATACATTCTAAGAAGGTGGACTAAATACGTACGAGAGTATCGATTACGAAGTCCATGTACAAGAGTCGTGCTACCGATAAAAATCCTAGAACAAGTATAGGAAGACGTTATAAAGTATTCACTAGACGGAATCATGTGGATTGTTTTCGTAGAAGGAAAACTCTTGTGGTACATAAGGGTTGGTACACAATGGTGTCCACACCCTCACATGAGGGGGGCCCGCCTGAATATTATATTCAGGCGGGCCCCCCTCATGTGAGGGTGTGGACACCATTGTGTACAAACCCTTATGTACCCATAGACCAACCCTTCGTAGAATGGAATTCATATTAGATATTCTATTTTGCATCCTAGTATCTCTTGGATTTGGATAAAGATAGAATTTAAATAGGATTCTAAAAGTTGAGTTCAATTCAAATTAGGCTTATTTGCATTGTAATGAGTACTCTCAAATCTATAAAATAAATTGATATTCTCTTCTTGAAATCCCTTCTTCTTCTTAAATTGTTCGTTGTCAAATTATTACGTTTCTTTCGGCGTCAAATCCGATGGATCAACAGAAGAACATGGCCCGGGATGTTGAAGCAGCCTCCGGGTTCAGCACAGGATTGATCGTCTTACTTAGTGTTGGTGGGCTGTTGCCGCTATTCCTCATTGGAAGCTATGCACTCTCCATTTATGCACACAAAACCATTCCTCTAGAGAGAAAGAAGCTGGTCTCTAAGAAGAAATCGAGGAAAGATAGGCTGAAGCAAGGTTTCACAGCACCAGGAATTAACATTTTCCTGCTTCAGTTACGACTAATTTAAAGTCTATATAAAAAGGGTTTATGCATTGTAATAGATACGACTGTAAAATCATCAAATACACAACCAACGCTTTTGTCCAGGCAAAAGTCGCAACAAATTTTCGTTTTTCCTATAGGTAATCGTCGATGCTACTTATACATGTTATAAACAAACACAATATAATGATATCACCATTCTCACTGCGTTTTTTTGACAAAGTGAAGAGTTTCAAACACGATTTTTACGTACTTCAGTTGAATAGAGGTTCTGCTTATAAGTACCACGATTATAGAAATATCCAAGTCGGGTGTGCTGAGACAGATACTTAGGCCCCACGACCCATGGTCTGTGCGCCAGGTGGAATCATGACCAAGACTGGTTGGGCATTGAACCCGGGATGAGGAAGCCTACGGCGAACCTCACGACCTTCCTGGCAAAGGGCACATGCATGGCAGAAGACGTGAGTTGCAAAATCACAGGCTGATTCACATTGTTCACGTTGAATCTCATCATCCACAAGGCTTCCACAGCATCCACAGGATCTGGCAAGCGCCTCGCAGCTGCCCTGTTAATGACAACAGATCAGATTTTAAATGCCATAAGAATACTGCAATAAAATCTAAAACCGGCAAGAATCATTACAACTCAAAATCATGTGGGTTCGGGAGATGATTTGAATCAAAGTTTAAACATAGTGACATAGTCCCAACAGAAAGGTAAAACGTGTCAAGAGAGTTTTACAAACCATTCCCCTGTTCCTGGGGCCCTTTCCTCCTTTCTCTATGTTTATGAAAGAGATGGGAAAAGGCATGATACAGGAAGCCTTACCTCTCTTGAGAAGGCAATCGCAAATTTTGAGTTTCTATTTTGTCAATACAAGGAAAATTAGGGCTGTGCGCTCCAACTCGGCCTTTGAAACTGAGGTTCTAGGTCGCTTACCGATTTAAATCTATGAATTTGGTTTCCCACATCACTAAAACTGCGAGTCAAAATTTCTTCAAGATGACTATAATGCCCTTGCTTTAAATTAATATTAAAAGAATAAAAAAGAAAAGAAAAAGAAAAGAAAATCTTAAACAGGAAAATAAATGGAAAAGAAAAAATCACTCAACTTCCCCATCACATCAACCTCACCCCACTTCGATTACCGCCATCACCTCCCATTCTTAGTCGCTATCTAATGCAATCACCAACAAAAAATACACCAATTACAACAGCCTGCCAAAAACACTCCAAAATCAGAATCACCAAGTCTATATTCCAAGACTCCAACTTTGGTCTTTTTTATAACTTTTTACAAGTATTGACACAAATTTGTGTTAGAAAGCACGAAAAATAGGAATCTAGATCATTTCCTGTATCGTTCTTATTAAGTTTATGTATTTACAAGCATTAAATAGGAAGCTTTTTTTTATTTTTTATTTTTTTGGATTTGTTATTGAAGTACAGTGAGTAAATTTTGTTGTGCTGAGTGAAATTATTAAAATGTGGAGACATCAAAAAAGTTCCAAACAAAAATAGGGTGCAGGGTTCAGACTTGGATGAATCCATGAACAGTCAGCATAGAAATGTGAAGCACAGAATACAGGGATTTAGAATGAGGAAGTGGTAGTGGGTGGAGGTGGATGGGGTAGAAAGTGATTTTTTATTTTTTTTTCCTTTTATTTTTTTGGGTTAGGCAATTTGTTTTCTTTTAATAGTCAATTAATAGTAAGGACATAAAGGCCATTCTAAAGAATTTTTGACTTTTTAATGTCCACATTGACTGTTTCCGTTACATGGTGAGCCAAATTCACATATTTAAATATGAGATGACCCAAAACCTCAATTTTAAAGGATGGGGAGCTGAAACTACGCAAGGTGAAAGGTTAGTGAGTGTAACCCTAATTTTCCCACATAAAAAATATGGAGAAGATATGAATTGCATGCAATATTGAAATGCCATCAATGTGGAATACTGGAATATTTATAAAATCATGGTTTGAACTGACATATTGTGATATAAACTTAATTTAGTCTGTATAAATTATTTTAAAAAATGTAGAAGAATAGAGTGCAACATTCTTAGATCTCAAATATAATGGAAATGATATCTGTAAACAACTACCAACTAAAAAACAAATAATTAATTTGACAAATACATTTGTCATTTGATATCACACCAATACATTTTCTCATTGTCCGATTCATTTGCACTTTATAATAAAAGCCAAAGGAAATCATTCCTTTTATGCAAATGCACAAAGCTGGAAATTTTCAAGTTTCAGCATTAATTTGGAAGCAAAGCTAAGAAAACTTTATGGCATAATGATGATAATCAGGGGGAAAAAAAAACTACTAGCTTCCTCATATGGAGCATCAACCAAATTTATGAAGACAACAAACCTCTAGGTTAAACTTCCGTCGAATAGCTGTGCGGGCGGGATATGAAAACCAAGGCGCGAGGCAATTCCAGCCAAATAACGAATTCCCAATAAAGTAAAGACCAGTGTAAGGCAAGCAGTGATTGGTAAAAGCACCAGGAGCTGATCCGAGCCTCTCAACGTTGCTCCCATAGAGCACACATGGAGCCACGCTTCCTAGCAAACCTGCTCAGTATCAAAACTGTAAGGTGGTAGAGAAAAAATAGACCATAGAAGCATATCAAGAGCAGCAATAAAAGAAACGGACCAATTTACAGTCAAAAATTTAAACACCCAAAGGAACTCCTCTTGTAAGAACATGGATGCATGAGAATTGAACTGTTCAAACTAAATCCATAAAATGAAGGTAATACGCTGCAACCACAGGATACTTCATGAAATTTAGTTTATGTTGGCTACGAGGATGTATTATTAAGGAATAAAATAAGCTAAAGGATTAATAGCAGAAGACCCCCCTAAAAATGTTTTCATATGCAATATACCCCCTACCTATTGGAAATCGTAGAAGACACCCCCCCTTCCCCCCGGTTTAAAACCTTCTGTGTGAAAATCCCCCTGCCGTAAAGATCCATTAGATTTACCATTAAAAACAGTGAAAAAAAAAATGCCAAAATTAAAAGGAAATAATTGCAATTTCAATACCCAAACTTTTTTATTTTTTACAAATTAAATCCAAATTTCTTATATGTGCCACCACCAATCCTAAATCTTTAAAACTTTTTTTTCCACCCCACTTCATCTTCTTCCCAAAAAAATTTCGAAGGATTTCTTTTTCAAGCTATAATTTAGAAAATAAGTTCAGCA